GGGGGGATACAAAAAGCAGCTCCATTTTTCCACCCCCAAATCCCACCCTCCTTTCACTTCCCCATCAGCTCACGAATCTCCCAAATCACTTCAGGAGCAGAGCAGGATTCCACAGATCAAAGCCCTGCTCTGCAAACCCCACAAGTCCTTTAAGTCAAGTTTAAAAAACCCCATCCTGGTGCTAAATTAGGGTGTAAATGACTAATTAACTGCTGTGATTTGTCCTCCCCGGAGGGTTTTTTTTTTCCTACAGCAATCACCTCTCAGGGACCGGGGTGGCTGAGCTGGAAAATTCCTGATGCTCAGCTGGTTTGTCCAGCCCGAGATTTCAACTTCCAAGCAATAAATCATTTCCCAAGCTGCTTTTTCTGCTGGGCTTGGGGAGATATCACCAGGTCTTGGCTGCAGATTGAGAATTTTGGGAGCTGCAGTGATGAAGCTTTGCAGATTTGATGTTCCCTCTGCACCTCCTGCCAGCAAATTGGGGGGATTTTTAGGACACCTAATATAACTTAATAACCCATTTGGAAATTAAAAAGGGAATATATATATATTTTTATAAAAAATATATAGTATATATATATAATAAATAAATGAGATCCCAGTTGGATTTTCCAACCCTCCTGGTCTGGCAATGTTGCTGCTGGTGGAGCTCTTTTAATGAGCAAGTTATTTTAGGAGCTGCAGGAGGTTATTCCCACTATAGATCATTTTTACAGCTGCTTTCAAGCAGAGGATGCTTTGCAGAAAAAGGGGAATTGCTTTGTGGTAAATACCCCAAATTCTGCCCAGTTTGTGATTAATCCCAGGGCTTTTCCTCACCAGTGGGATTTGCCCACTCTGGGTGGTTCTGGCTTTGCTCACTTGGGAGTTCTGAGAGAAGAAATTGTATTTTTCCCCTCATTCTGCCACCCTGGGCTGCATTCCTGGTCCTCCATCCTCATGGAAACTCCCTCCTGCCCCGGTTTGCAGGTGGGTGGTGATGCCCAGAACTGAATCCAGGTGCCAAGGAGAGAGAAAATGTCACATTTGCTCCGTGGATTTTGCGACTTAGGGAAGGCCAGAGTTGGGTTTTTGTTCTAAGTGTGGCTGAAAATCAGCTTGGACTCACTGTGGGCACTGTGGGCTTCTCTTTCCTGGAATACTGGGGGGAAAAAAAAAACCTGGATTTTCTGCTTGTTTTCCAAGTGAGCTAATTCCCAGGGAGAGCTGGAGGCTAGACAGGGATATTTGATGTGCTCAAAAACAAAGGATGTGGCAACTTCTAAAGTGCCAAAGGCAGTTTTTGTTTGTCCCCCACTTTTCAAGATGCTGAGAAGCTGCATCAGGGCTTTTCCTGAGCACACGTTGTGCCAGCCTTGACTCCTGAATTTCCTGCAATTGTTCAGAGCGTGCAGAGTAAACTCCTCGGGTTTGTTTGTGCCCAGGCTGAAACGAGTGCTGGGGAAGGAGGGGATGGTTGAGTTTCAAGGAAAGCCTATTTTTTTTTATTATTATTTTTCTTGCACGAACCCACAGTGGGTCCTGCAAAAGAAAATCCACAGGGAGAAGGTATTTTCCAGGGAAGCTGTGGCTGCTCCATCCCTGGGAGTGTCCAAGGCCAGGTTGGAGCATCCTGGTTCTGTGGAAGGTGTCCCTGCCCATGGCAGGGGGTGGCACTGGGTGATCTCCAAGGTCTCTTCCCACCCAAACCATTCCATGTCCTTGCCCATCTCTGGCAGCTCCAGCTCCGTCCCACCAGCAGCACTGGGGGGTCTCAGCCCCTCCTCAGCTCCAGCCCAGAGGCAGCTGAAAGACTTGGCTTTAACCTGGCACTGTGATGGATTTCAACTGGCAGGGAGTGGGGGGAGATGGGATTTTGGGAAGGGATTCTTCCCTGGGAGGGTGGGGAGGGGCTGGCTCGGATTGCCCAGAGAAGACCTGAGAGCCCCTTCCAGGGCCTGAGGGGGCTCCAAGAGCTGGAGAGGGACTGGGGACAAGGGATGGAGGGACAGGACACAGGGAATGGCTTCCCACTGGAAGAGGGGGGAGAGATGGATATTGGGAAGGGATTGTTGGCTGTGAGGGTAGGGAAGGAGTTGGAATGGAATTCCCAGAGAAGCTGTGGCTGCCCCTGGATCCCTGGGAGTGTCCAAGGCCAGGTTGCATCATCCTGCTCTGTGGAAGGTGTCCCTGCCCATGGCAGGGGGTGGAAAGGGATCTCTAAGTCCCTTCCAACCCAAACCATTCCAGAATTCCAGAAACCACTTCCCCATTCTCTCTCAACAAACCCATCGTGGCCGTGCCGAGTTTTTCCGAGGCACTTTCACATCCTCTGGCAAAGACATTCCAGAAATCACTTGCAGGGAGCAGAAAGGGGGATGATTTAAGGGAGCAATCTGCAGACTGATGCTCCTCTGAGCCCTCACACTCCATAATCCAATCCCTCTGCTGGAAACACTTTGGGAATGAGGCACATTCCGTCCTGCTTCCCTAATTTCTGATGAAAATCAGGGCCCCACTTTGATTTCAGCCACATCCTGGCTGGGAATGTTTCCCTGAGCCTACCTGGCTCCTCATTCAGGTTCTTCCTCTGCTTGTTCCCAGCTTTTTGCTGCTTGCCAGGAGGAATTCTGCCCTTTTATGTGCCTGGAACAAGTTCCTGCTTTTCGTGCATTTGAGTTGTCAGGTCTCAGACACAGGAAAACAGGGAATTTTTTTCTTGGAGATGTTGGTTTGTGCTGCTTGCCTGGATGGGCTTTGCTGCCTTTTTCCCTCCCACATTCCCACCTTGCTGAAAATTTGGGACCAGGAAATGCAGCAGGTGGCTCTGGGCACACTGAGGATGCAGCTCCTCTTTTTTTGGGGGGGGTCCTTCCTGATGGGAATCTGGGTTTGGAATCCCAGGTATGGGAAAACCATGCTCGGGGTTTGCAATGCAAGAAGAAAACTGGGAATGCCAATTCCCCCCACCCAAAAAAATCAGCCCCAGGCTCTCCCAGACCTGCCTTTTCTCCCTGTTTTACACATTCTCCTCCAGCTTCCCCATGGCAGATTTGCTTTCCTGGTTTTTCCAGGGTGTGGATCAAAGGTTAAAAATTAAATTATTAAAATTTAAAAAAAAAAATTATTTCTCTAATTCACCCAAACGTGAAAGGGGTTTTTCCAGCTGATCCCAAACATTCTCAGATGCTCCTGAAGCAGAGCCAACAGCGGGGAGGAACAATCCCTGCTGCTGTTATGGCTTTTTTTTTAATTGATTACTCCCTAATTCTCCTCCCATCTCCTGCGGGAGAGCTCGGCTACATCCAATTCCTTTTCGGCAGAGGGTTTTGTAACCACTCCAGAGCAAAACAAAGCCTGTTTTGAAGGACGGGAGAGCATCATCCACGTCCAGCTCTGCTTCCCGAGCTGGCAGTGGCCGAGCTGTGGCAGCACCATCACCCCCTTGGAGGGAATATCGGGAATATCGGAGCCAGTTCAGCTCCAAAGGTGCTGGCACGAGGCAAATCCCCCTCCCTGTCCCCCCCCTCGGCTGGATCCGCAGCCAAAATGTCTTTTATTCCTCGGGAAGAGGGACCAGAACGAGGCGTTGCAGCATCGGGAAAAGCTGATGCGCTTGAAACGCTCAATTCCAAAGGGAACTGAGGAGCTGTTGGAGAGCCGGGATTTATCAGCAGCGCTGGTGTGAATTGCCATTAAACCGGGATTTCTGCGAGAGGGGCAGCTGTGAATTGGAGGCTGCTCCGTGTCCCTCGAGGGGCGGTGACAAAGGAGTGGCCCCGGGGCCACCAGCAGAGATGAACTTTGGATCGTGGCACAACACGAGCTCTGCTGACAGATCCCAACCACAACCCGAGCTCTGCCGGCAGATCCCAACCCTCGGGGCACGAGCAGGCAGGGGAAAAAGAAAACCAACTGCGATGGGGTAGTGCCATTTGGTGCTAAACCGTGAGTTTGCTCTTAACTGAGGGGGTGGAGAGGGGATGGACGGCTCTGCAGCAGGGCTGGGAGGGAGAGGGTGCTACAAATGCACACCCAAGTCACGCCACCGACAATTAGCAGCCTTCCCTGGGCTCCTCTTGCAGCGCTGACAAAGGATTCCCAAAGCCAACCAGGGCGGGGAGAGGGGTTATTTTTAGTGCTGTTTTACCAAAAATTTCTAGTTGCAGTGTATTCTCCCCTGAGTGGAGATCACACAGAGCCACATGGAGTCACAGGATCACAGAATTAGCCAGGTTGGAAAAGACCTCTGGGATCATGGAGTCCAACCTGTGACCCAACCCCACCTTGTCACCCAGCCCATGGCACTGATGCCACATCCAGGCTCTGCTCAAACCCCTCCAGGGATGGGGACTCCACCCCCTCCCTGGGCAGCCCCTTCCAGTGGCTGATCACTCTCTCTGGCAAGAACTTCTTCCCCATGTCCAACCTGAACCTCCCCTGGGGCAGCTCAAGGCTGTGCCCTCTTGTCCTGCTGCTGGTTCCTGGGAGCAGAGCCCGACCCCCCCCGGCTCCCCCTCCTGTCAGGGAGTTGCAGAGAGTGAGAAGGTCCCCCCTGAGCCTCCTCCTGTCCAGGCTGAGCCCCCCCAGCTCCCTCAGCTGCTCCTCCCAGCACTTGTGCTCCAGCCCCTTCCCCAGCCTCGTTGCCCTTCTCTGGACACGCTGCAGCCCCTCAACATCCTCCCCAAACCGAGGGCCCAGAGCTGGGCACGGCACTCGAGGGGTGGCCTCCCCAGTGCCCAGTCCAGGGGCACAATCCCTGCCCTGCTCCTGCTGCCACCCTGTTCCTGAGCCAGGCCGGGATCCATCGGCCTCTCGCCCCCCTGGGCACCCCTGGCTCACGTTCAGCTGCTGTCAGTCAGTGCCCCCAGGTCCCTTTCTGTCCCCCCACTCTGTCCCCAGCCCAGTGGGGCTGCCGGGGGTTGTTGTGGCCAAAGGGCAGGACCCAGCCCTTGGCCTGGTTGAGCATCAAAGCACCCCTGGGCTCTGGGGAGAGGGTCGTGTCCCTCCCCACCCACCTGTCCAGGGCGATGGCCGTCATGGAGTAGATGCTGGCGAAGACGGCAGCGATGGGGAAGAAGTTGTGGAAGCGGCAGTAGAAGAGCCCGTAGTACCACTCGTTGTGGATGGCGTAGGTGAAGTTCACCACGGTGTTGAAGGCGGCCATGGAGGCCTCGGCAAACGCCAGGTTCACCAGGAAGTAGTTGGTGACCGTCCTCATGCGCTTGTGGGCCAGGATGATCCACATCACCACCACGTTGCCCACCACCGCCACCACCACGATCAGGGCGTAGGCCACGGCCCACAGGGCCACCTGCCACGGGGGCTGCACGAACTGGTTGGACAGGGACTCGTTCAGGGAGCTGTTGGACAACCACTGCTGCTCCAGCTCCGCTTCCACGGGCAGAGAGTCGTCCATCGTGGCCCCACAGAGCCGGACCCGGCACGCGGGTGGTGTGGGGGGCAGCTCCCTCCTGGTTTATGGCACAGGGATGCTTTGGGGTGCAGGTCCCTCCTGGTTTAGGGCACAGTAGGATTGGGGTGCAATTCCCTCCTGGTTTAGGGCACACAGATGTTTTGGGATGCAGATCCCTTCCAGCTTAGAGTCCACAGATGCTTTGGGGTGCCAAATCCCTCCTGGTTCAGGGCACAGCAGGGTCAGGGTCCAGATCCCTCCTGGTTCAGGACACACAGATGTTTTGGGATGCAGATCTCTCCAGCTTAAGGTGCAGAGATGTTTTGGGGTGCAGTTCCCTCCTGGTTTAGGGCACAGAAGGGTTGGGGTGCAGTTCCCTCCTGGTTGAGGGCACAGCAGGGTCAGGGGCCAACAAGTTTGGGGCAGACACCTGGTCTGGAGTGCAGGTCCCTCCTGGTTCAGGGTGCAGCCAGTTTGGGGTGCAGGGCTGGTCCAGGGCACAGGTCCTTTCTGGTTCAGGGTGCAGCCCCTTTCGGGTGCTCCCTCCTGCCTCCGGGTGCAGCTGGAACGGGGTGCCCGGCCATGTCAGGGCTTCACTGGTTTGGGGTGCGGGTCTCCCCCAATTCGGGCACAGCTGGTTTGGGGTGCGGGTCCCCCCGGGCTCGGCTGCAGCTTCACCGGGGTGCAGATTCCTCCCGATTCAGGGCATTCAGGGATCCCGATCCCTCCCACCGGAGCAAGACGCGGGTCCCTCCCGGTTCAGGACCAGAGCACGAGGGGAGTCCCTGCCCGTTCAGGACCAGACCGGGATTCTGGAAGCAGGTACCTTGCGGCTCCGGACCGGAGCAGGGTGCGGGTTCCCCTCGGTCCGGGATGCAGCCGGTTCAGGATTCGGGTCCCCCCGCTTCAGGAGCGGAGCAGGATGCGGGATGCAAGTGCCTCCTGGCTCGGGACCGGCGTAGGATGCGGGTTCCCCTCGGTGCGGGATGCAGCCGGTTCGGGATACGGATCCTCCTCGTTTTGGGATGCAGATCCTCCGTGGCTCGGGATGGAGCCGGTTCGGGATGCGGATCCCCCTCGTTTCGGGATGGAGCCGGTTCGGGATGAGGGTCCCCTGCTGGATCGGGATGCAGCCAGTTCAGGATGCGGATTCCCGCGGTTGAGGATGCGGTTCCCCCGTGGATCGGGACGCACCCGGTTCAGGAGCGGAGCAGCCTCGGATCGCCGCGAATCGACTGCGGTGGTGGAGGCACGACCGGGCCTTTTATAACCGGGGCGGGCGGTGCCAGAGGGAGGTGGGCAGGGTCGGCACGGGCAGAGCCCTCCCCTGGTCCCCTCCCCCGGAGCTCTTGTCCCCTCTCCACTCCCACCTTCCCGGGGGAAGGGGCTATTCCAGCTTCCCCGACCCCCCTCGCCCCCATTTTCATTCCTCCTCATCCTCGTCCAACCCCTTTGCCCTCCAAAGCTTCCCGTGCTTTGTGTCCTTTTTGGGGGACTCGGGGAGGTCTGGGCCAAAAAATGCCCTCAAAAGTCACTGGGAATTTAAACATCCTGATAATAGCAAAGCTTATATATTTCATATTATTTTATTTTACATTTTATATTATATTATATTATATAAATATATTTATTTTATATTATGAATTTAATATAAATTATATTAATATATCCTAACACTTATAACATTATATATATTAAAGTATAATGCATTATACAGCTTATAAAATTATATATATATATATATTATAAGGTGGGTCTGGGCCAAATGCACTCTCAAAAGTCACCGGGAGAAATCCTGATAATAGTAAGGCTTATATATTTTATATGCTATATTTTTGTATGATATATTTATACATTATAAAGCTTTCCAGCTATACCAGCCATGGGATCTCTCCAAGCAATTGTGATCTGTGAGTGTTTTGCAGCCCCGGTGAACAAAACAAATAACTGAATTCCCAGAGAAGAAAAAGCTCTTCCCACTCCAGCACAACCTGTTCCCTTCCCCTGCAAACAGGACATTTTAATTTCAGTGCCCCTTTCGCTCACGAAGCAAACACAGCAATTAAAGGGGTGGTGAAACCTTCTCCCCTAAAACCTCCTTTTCGCCGGCAATTTGGGATCTCATCGAGCTGCAAACGGGGCTTTGCAGCTTCCCGCAGGCCGGGTTTAAACCCACCAGGCAGGGAGGGGTTTAAGATGCTCCTCCAGTGTTTTTTTTTTATTAATTATTTATTTGGGGTTTATTGCGGGCAAAACCAAAACGCTCCGCGTTGCCGTTGCCAGGAAAAGCCGCCTCTCCCCCGGGATCCGCTGATGCAACGAGGAGGAACATCGAGCCCAGCAAAGCTGAGCTTGGCCCTGCGCTTCGCTCAGGATGCTCCCAAATCCCTCCTTCCCTCCCGAGCTGCTCCAGCAGAAACCGCTCGCAGGTAAAGCCGCGGCTCCCGGGAAACCGGGAAGGGAGGAATTGGGGTGGGAATTGCGGAGCTGAGCGCGGGGAGAGGGGGGGATCTGACAGCGGAGGGGGCTGAAAACCTTTAATTCCCAACATCGTGTGGCTCGTTGAGGGCTCGTTGAGCGCTCTAACACGGGCATGGACGAAGGAGGCACATTCCAACCGGGAATACATCCCGGCTCTGCGTTTCCAGCCGTGGGTGACCACGGAGGGGTCCACGCGGGGGGCCGAACGCTCCTGCCGATGCTCCCGGACCACTCGATGGCAGCATTGCTTAAAAATGCGGGAGGAGCAATGGGAGAGCTGGGAAAGGCTCGCTGGGAATGCCATTTCCAACACCCCACCTCGAGCCCCCGACACGTTATTTTGGGGAACCGCCATAAATTTGGGGAAGGGTGAACCCTAAAGGCAAGGACGCCGTGGTTGGGGGTGGGGAGAATTCACCATTCCCAGAGAATCCTTCCCCACTCCCTCCATCCCTGGATTTCTCCAGGCTGGCAGGATCATCCCAAGGATCCAGGCAGGGCTGAGGGAGCACATTTCTGCCTCCTGCCTCAGTTTTCCCATTGGAAAAAGGGAGGCAAAGCCTTTGCAGCTCCTGGAGGAAAGAACCAGCTCTTTTTTCCCTTGGCTGCTGCTGTGCTAGGAGTTGAAATTCAGGCTGATGTCTGGATCCATTGGAATTGGGGCTGATGTCTGGATCAGTAGGAATTGGGGCTGATGTCTGGATCAGTTCGAGTTTGGTGTGGATCAGAGCAGGCTCTGGAAGGGGAATGTTTGTAGTGGCATGTTCAGGTCGTGGGGTGTTGCAATCTGGGGGGAATTTCACACTTCCTTTGTTTTGGAAGAGTTTGCATCGAAAGGAAATCAATCAATCAATCAGTCAATCAATACTAAGACAGAAACACTCCTGAGGAGGAGCAGATGGGTTTATTGCTCAGCAAAAGCAGATTATTGCAAGATTTTGACAGCTCATTAACGCTTGTGGGTCCCTGTGAAGGTGCCAGGGCTGTTCTGGGTGTGAATTCACTGGGCTCTTCCAACATTCCCTTTCCTTCCTTTCCTTCATGAGCATCCTCAGCCCTTCCAGACACACACACAAAGCTTTTGTAACCGGGGCTGGAGCAAACCTTGCCTTTTCCTGTCGTGTTTGCCACAAGGACAGGAACCTCTTCCACTGGAGTTTCCCAGCACAGTCCCCTGGGCTGATGGAACATCAAACGCACACAAAGCCTGCTTGTCTGGGAGGAAAAACTGGGCTGATCCTCCAGGGAACCGCCAGAGACGGTGATTTTCCAGCTTCTGAGGGTTTGGTCCCTCCATCTACCCTGGCCAAGGGCTTGGATCCCATTTCCCTGCTGCATAAAATCGGGTGTGAGCAGCACCAGGAACAGGCTCAAGCTTTGCCACCTCCCCAGGTTGTGGCTGCAGGTCCCAAACCCCCAACAGCCCTTGCAAGAGTTGTTTTTCCTGGCTTTTTTTTTTTTGGCTCAGGTAAAGGCAGCTCTTCAGTCTGGTCCTTCCATCCCAGGATTCCGTGTGACCACGGGGGATGGGCAGCAGGGAGTTGTGGATTTGGGGGGGATGTGCTTTGGGAAGAAAATCTTGAGGGAGTTTAAGGATTTCAGCACTTCGGGATCTAATCCTGAAGTGGGTTTGGGTTGGGGTTTGAAAATCCTGCTTTATAATTAAGTCGACCCACTGATTGCTGCTGTGACTCCAAAGCTGCCCGTGGTGGGAGGAGCCCCCTGGTTTTGGAGTGTGAGAGGAGAAAATAACTGGGAATTACACAAAACAAAACCCAAAACCCACACTAACAACCTAAAACAGGGGTTTGTTTGCTGCTGAGCACCAAGGGATGCCAAGATAAGCACAGAGGGAAAAGGCTGCTCCAGGAGGGGCTGAGAGCAACCTCCTGAAAGAACATCCCAAAATTCTAGTGCTGGCTTTCATTTAGCCCCTGGCTGTAGGTGCTAATTTGCTGATTTAATCCAACCTGTGTTAGTTTTGCTGCTTAATTTAAAGGCAGGTTCTCCCCGGCAACCCTTGGCTTGGCACAAAGTGTTTCCTGCTTAAATTCCTTCTCAATTTTGATTCCCACCTCCCTAAAAGGTGCCTTGGGGGGTTCATGGCAGGGCTCATTCCTCTCCATCCCCTCATCTGCTGTCATTGCTCCCCATGGCTGCTGGAAGGAGGCTCAAACCCAGGTTTAAACTCTCATTTTAGGCTTGGTATGCCCAGCCTAAGCCCCTGTTTTGGCTGTGTGGGTGGGGAACTTGCCTTTGTGCTCTTCAGAAACTTTTGGGAAGTTCAAGTGCCTTTTTTTCCCACTCCAGGTGAAATGTCTCTGCTTTGAGCTTTGGAATTGGGAGTGCAGAAGTTTTGGGCTCTGCAGGGCTTTGATTTGGGGTGCAAAGTGCTGAGTCTTTACCCTGGTGAGGTCTGTGCTGAGACCAACCCCGAACTCAGCCCAGGTTTGCTGCTGCAGATGGATGTGACACCTTTCCCATGGAAAACAGGGCTCTTGAAGGACTCCAGGGAAGTAGTTCCCAGCTTTTGTTTGTGAGGATTGGAAACCATTTGGGTGGGAAAGGCTCTGGAGGCCTCAAAGCTGGGCTGCTCAGAGACTGTTCAGGTCCTGGTCTCAGTGGATTTGAGCTTCTCCAAGGAGGTTCCCTAAAATGTTGGGTCCCTGTTGGAGCACTCTCGTGATCTTGGAGCTGGGAAATTGCCAGTCATTGAATGATTTGGGTTGGAAGGGATCTTAAAGCCCTTCCAGTGCCACCCCCTGCCATGGGGGGTGACCTTCCACCAGCCCAGGTTGCTCCAACCTGGCCTTGGACACTCCAGGGATTCAGGGGCAGCCACAGCTCCTCTGGGAATTCCAGCCCAGCCCCTCCCCACCCTCACAGCCAAAAATCCCTTCCCAATATCCCATCTGTCCCTGCTCTCTGGCAGTGGGAAGCCACTCCCTGTGTCCTGTCCCTCCATCCCTTGTTCCCAGTCCCTCTCCAGCTCTTGGAACCCCTTTAGGTCTCCTCTTTTAAACTGCATCCCACTGGACTTTCCAACCCTGTAACTAGAAATAGTTCAGCAGTTCTCTCTCTATTATATTTATCTATTAGATATTATATTTATTTATTAGACAGAGAGTTCTGTGACTCAAAGCTGTTCATTGTGAGTTTTGTGGCTCAGCAGGAATTTGGTTCTGGTGACTCCTGGAAACCAGGTGAATTTACCAGCGGGGCTGGAAAGTTTCCTGAACACAGAATCCAGGAATCCTTGAGGTTGGAAAAGCCCTCTCAAGGTCATCCAGTCCACCCTGGGCCTGATTCCCACCTTGTCCCCCAGCCCAGAGCACTGAGTGCCACGGCCAGGCCTGCCTTGGACACCTCCAGGGCTGGGGACTCCAAACCTCCCTGGGCATCCCCTGCCAAGGCCTGATCACCCTTTCCAGGGAGAAATTCCATCCCAGGGAGCCACCTCCTCTCTCAGGGGATGTTGGGACAGCAAGTCCTTGGCTCATGGGATAGATCCATTGGCTCCTTTGGGTGGGAAAAGCCCTCTAAGGTCACTGAGTTCACTGCCAAGGCCACCACTGACCCCTGTCCCCAAGTGCCACATCCACAGGGCTGTTCAGT